GGAGCACTGGGTGTTATGCACAAACAATGAATCATGGAACACTACATCTAAAACTAATGATGTAATGTATGGGGATTAACAAAACAATAAAAAAATTTTAAAAAATACAAAAAGCTGTGATTAGATTTTCTATTTTGTAAAAACAGTATGAGTAGATGACTCTGCCTCTTTAAGGCTAATAGTTTAATGAACAGAAAATGTCTTCTGTATCACATAATTATTCGTTTGATATCTTAAGTTCTATTTTATAATTTTGTACTGTTTTTACCCTTTTAGTTGTATTCTTGTTCCTTTGATGGCACCATTAAACTTTGGGACTATATAGATGGCATTTTAATAAAGGTACGTGTTTTGATCTTCTATTTTTCTTATTTGAAAAGGGATGGCAACATCATTTAATGACAGACACATTGTTCTCTTCTATAAAGCCTTATCTTTAGATAGCCTTTCTTTTTTTTTTTTTTTAAAGATTTTATTTATTTGACAGACACAGTGAGAGAGGAACACAAGCAGGGAGAGGGGGAGAGGGAGAAGCAGGCTCCCTGCCGAGCAGGGAGCTCGATGCAGGGCCCGATCCCAGGACTCTGGGATCATGACCTGAGCCGAAGGCAGACGCTTAATGACTGAGCCACCCAGGCGCCCCTAGATAGCCTTTCTAAACAAGTTGTGAAAGTCACACACCATAAAAGAAAAGAAAGTTGACTATTTGAAAATTTTAAACTTGAAACAAAAAGATGAGCAATAAAATCAGAAGAAAATACTTACAAGAGTTACTATCCCTAATATACAGAAAATACACAGAAAACCAATAAGGAAAAACTAATAACCTAGTAGGAAAAAATTGGCACAGGGTGAGAATATGTAATTCACAGGAAAAAAATAACAGCCAGTAAACATGAAAAGGTGTTTAATAACCTCAGTAATAAAAAAAAAATGACACAGCATTTTCCCCTATCAGTTTAGCCAAATTACAGACTGCAAAAACAATCTAGTGATAGGTAAAGTGTAGAGAAACAGATACTTTTATTTTTGTACATAATTAGAGTACAAATGAAAATGAAAAAATAACTTTTGCTCCAGCAATCTCATTTTTAGGAATCTCTTGTTGAAATAATGACATGTGTGTAATAATTATAGCATTGTTTATGGAAAAAAACTGAATATAACCTTGATGTCTGTTAAAGTTTCATATTCATTCAATAGAATACCATATAACCATTGAAAAGAAACAGGTGGACCTATATGTATTAATCTGAAAATTTATTTAACAAATATATATCGAGTGTCTTCTGTATACCAAGTATTCTGATGTTGGGATACAGTGGTGAGCAAAATGGATTAAAAAAAAAAAAAAAAAAATCCTTGCCCTTTATGGAACTTATGTTTGGGGGTTGAGGTGAGGGTAGACAGACGATAAACAATATGGTACTTTTTATCTTTCAGACTTTCATAGTAGGGCATAAACTTCATGCCCTCTTTACTCTAGCCTGTGCTGAGGATTCTGTCTTTGTTATAATAAATAAAGAAAAACCAGGTATAGTATAATTAATTTATTTTGTTTTATATAGCATTGGATTACTCTTTCCATAGTTTCTCAAAATGTAACAGTTTGGTTTTAGTCTGAAATTAACAGTGTTTGGAGCTGGAATTTAAATTGCTTCTGTTATTATTGCATTCATTTTGGGGAAGCTTCCCCCTAGTTCTGAAATACACAATGCGAAAATGATTACTAAATATATAGTTGTAATAATAGATTGCAGAGCTCAAATTACAAAGCTGTTTTGCAGAGGTGGGCTAGAGTTTGTTTTTCTACTAACCTTAATCGGCCATTCTTAAGCGTCGCTGTTCATTTTATCCGTTATTGAACACCCCTTTTGTTGATCCTGAATCTGTCAGAAATGGTATAGAAAACAGTTTGATACTAAGAGCTAGTAGTGTGATTAAATTATTCATTATCATTGGAGCATGATTTCATTGAAATTGCCATGTTTCAGAGCATTTTATGAATTCCTGGAATATCTTCAGTGGTTACAAAAATTGTGCTTTAGCAGTGAATTTGATACATCAGAACATTGACATGAGGGATATATCCAAAGAATTTTTCTAATACTGGAATTCAAGAAGGCCACTGCATCTTCTGGTGTTCTGTATAAAATATAGCTGTCTTCAGAATTCAAAAATGAAAGCTTTAAGATGTTTACTGAGCAGTCTGCTAGGTTGGCTCATGGCTCACTAGCTAAATGAATCCTTCCCATGGTATATTTTTGTTTGTTCTTTGGGTTCAGTTTAGGGGCATGGTAATTTTGTTTTGTGTGTGTGTGTTTTTGGCTGGAACAAATTTGCAGATTGTTTTATATCATGGACTTTTTTTTTTTTTAGATTTTATTTATCTGACAGACGCAGCAAGAGAGGGAACACAAGCGGGGGAGTGGGAGAGGGAGAAGCAGGCCTCCCGCTGAGCAGGGAACCTGATGTGGGGCTGGATCCCAGGACCCTGGGATCATGACCTGAGCCGAAGGCAGACGCTTAATGACTGAGCCACACAGGCGCCCCTATATCATGGACTTTTAAATTACCTGAGAATAGTTAAAACTATAAAAGCTAATCTGTTTTTTAGCTAAAAATCGTTTGGTGAAGTTTGTTAATGAGTAATATTTTATCTATCAAAAATGTGACATGAACGAATAAAAGCAATAAGTTCAGTTTTCTTATGTAGCCCATAAACCACCTCTAAAGGATATTCCAAAAAATGTTCTGGAAATGGCAACATTTCTTAAAATAATTAAGTCTCCTTCCTAGTTGACGGTTTTAGATAGCCCTTTTCAGTATTTAAGTTCTGTTTTATATATAAGTGTGTGGATTCTTAATGTCTGTCCACATACTAAAAATCCAGATTCCTAATCTCCCTCACTGACAGTTGATTCATTAGTTTTGAGATTTAGTTTAGGATTCTGCATTTTTTTTATTTCCCCAGATGATTAAGCTCATCCTTCACATTTGGTAACCGGTCTGTATACTAACACCACGATTCCTCAGTTGCAAGGGTAGTTGCTAATAGTTGTAGCAAAACTTTTCATCCATGTTAGTGAGGTCAGTGATTCTTAACACTGGCTGCACATTAGAATCACTCCAACTAACTTAAGATTCCCTGTGCTGGGGCCTGTTTACTTAAATATTCCCTAGTTGAGTCTAATGTGCAAGCCAGGATAGAAAACTACTGATCTAAAGTAAAGATCTTGGCATTTGCCTTTTGGAGTTAACCAAATGCTATAATGTAATCTGAATTCTATTCATGATGGGATTCGTGTTACTCTCCAGTACTGTTAAGTTCATGAGAACTCAACGTGTGAAAATCTATTTAGCTGTTAACATAAAAATGTGAATCAGGCCTAAGATGGCATTTCATAGAATAGATCTAAATACATATATCCTTTATTAGTTTCATCTTTGTTCCACAATCCGAAACCAGCCTCTGATTGAAAATTGTATAAATCATGTTGAAGTATGCTTCGCTGCTTTAAAAACATTTTTGATTTACATGTCATATTTTATGGTATCATTTTTTGACTGTATGTAATTTATTCATTTAGTATCTAACTGAAAACCTACTACATGCCGGTTACTATTCTGGTTGCAGAGAACAAAACAGACAATCCCAACAATAAGCAGACTAGATCAGTCATCAGATGTAATAAGGTGAAAGATGCTTTAGAGAAAAATATAGCAGGGGAGGAGAATTGGAGAAGCAGAGGCAGCATTGGAGAAGTACATATTTAAATAATTTAAGTGGTTCTGAGAAGAATACGCTGTGCAGCAGTATTGGAGAAGCATGTTCTACAGCATTTCTAGCATGTTTGAGGAATAGCAGGGAGGTTGGATTGGAGTGATCCAGGGGAGAGTAGGTAATAAATAGCTTTATAGGCCATTGAAAGGATTTTGGTTTTTACTCTGAGTAGTTAAAAAGCTGAGTAGTTAAAAAGAATGAAATGATCTGACTTAGTTGTACTAGATTCTCTGGCTTGACGAGAATAGACTATAGGGGGACAAGGATAGAAGTACAGAGTACAGTTAAGAGGTCCTTGCTTAGGTGGTGAGAAATGATTGTGTTCTGGGTATCTTTGGAAGATACGGCCAACAGGGTTTGCTGATGGTTTGATGTGGGATATGAAAGAGAAGTCTAAGATAACGTAAGGAAGTCTAAGCAGCTGGGTAAATGGTGGTGCCATTTCCTGCAGTGGGTAGAGTTGGGGAAGACTAAATTTAAAAAGGAAAATCAAGAGTTCAGGGTTTGGGCATGTGAAGTTTGAGATGACTGAGAAGGCTAGAAGAACCAAGAGTTCAGAGCAAATAATCGGGCTGGAAAATGGGAAAATGGTAAATTGAGGTGTTACAGAAGTTCATATTCATTTTAATGTCTGAAGGAATAAGGAAATAGCATAGTAAAATACAGCTATTTTCTCTTGGGAGGTTTTTTAAATGGGATGTAAAGAGAACAACGTGGCAGTATTAGAGAGGAGATATATCTTGTGACTGTGTGGCAAGCACATAGCATTTCTGAAATCTCTCGGATGGGTTGTTGCCTTTGGCTGCTCAGTTCACCAATACACCATATTCCATCTCCATTGTAAAGGGCAGCTTAATACCTTGGGACACAGAATATACCAGTAAGATAAATTGTTTTCTGTTTTAACATATATAGAGCACATATGTGTAGGAGTTAAGAAATTAGACTTCCATTTAAAACTTGTATATTCAAATGAACAGTCCAACCTGAAGGCACATTTTGTTCAAGATAGCCTGATTTATTGCCATCAAATGAATTCTAGAGTACTAAGTAACAGTTTCATATGAATAAGTGCACATGTTCATTTTCTCTAGAGAAGATTTATATTAATATAGCTACCTTTGGCTAGATGTTTTTCAGCTGGTTTCAGTGAAACTGCCAAAATCATCAAGCCAGGAAATAGAAGCTAAGGAGCTCTCCTTTGTTTTGGATTATATAAACCAGTCACCCAAGTGCATTGCCTTTGGAAATGAGGTAAATTTGTTTTGGTTTTCTATTTTGTACATAAAATCTCTTTGCAGCAATGTTTCCTTTGAGCATTTTATGTTATAGTCACTGAATATTGCCTTGAGTTACAATATTTTTGTTAGGAGCTAAGAAGTTTGTTCCATTACTTTAGCATGTATTTATGGTGTAGATATTTTAGGATCCTTAATCTTTATATACTTATTCTTGTAAACCCTCTAATTGTTCAAAAAATACTAATATTTCAGCATTTGAACTCTTAGCCTGCTCCATGTAAAAGCCACTCACATCCTTTCATTTTAGACTATGTGTCTTTAGAAAATATGACCTCCCTGTCCATAATCAGTGTGCCCATTATAGAAAATTGGGAAGTTAAAAATAAAGTGAAGAAATTAAATCTTAAATCTCTTTCTAGACTTTTTCCTAAATGCATATAAAATAATTTTTCCCAAACTGAATTAGGATCTGAAGGCTTTTTAACCTTTGTTTTTACTTAACATTGCAACACAAGTGTATACTTACATGTTCATCAGAAATAATAACTGTGATGTTTCTACCATGATTTAGCCGTTCCCTATTAATAATCACTTTGTTATTTTCAAGTCAGGTAGCACCGGAAGTCCCTAGATGACATTGTGGTGGCATGTTCCTGTAGTCTAAGTTTGTAGCATTTTTTTGGTTTTGTTCTAAAGAAAGCTAATTTCTTATAGTAGAGAAAACACTTTAACATTAAAGATGGACAGTACTGAGCATTGGCAAGATATGGAGCAAAGGTAAACATCCGTTCTTACCATGAGCCAGCAAGTTCCACTACTAGGTAGAGAAATGAGAAAATGACCATAAAGTGACATGTACCACAATGATTAGTATTCATAGTAACTCCAAAGTGGAAACAACCTAAATGTTCATCAACAAGAGAATAAATACTTTGTGATATGTATTCATTTATTGGAATGCTACTTCATAATAATAGAAACTAAAGATACAGATAAGAGCATGAATGACTCTCAAAAAGGTGAAGGTGAGCTAGAGTTCAGACACAAAATTGTACATTGCACTATTCTGTTTATATGATGTTCTAGAACAGACAGAGAAGTAAACTGTGGTGATAGAAATCAGTGGTTGCTGACAAGGGCAGGGACATTGGGAATGACTAGAAAAAGGAACACGGAAACATTTCTGAAGTAAAGAAAATGTTCTAAATCTGGTGGTGGTGACATGGATATACATGTCAAATATGGCACTGTTTTGTATGTAAGTTGTGCCTTAATGGAAAAAATTCAAATATAGGACCTAAGTTCATCTTTTAATTTTCTATGACGATTTTAAAAGGATTATCCTTTCCATAGCTAACTATACTGTTTTATATTAATGTGCTCAATCTGCAAAAAAAAAAAAAAAAAAGGTTACTGATGATTAACTTTTGTGATGAGAACATTTCTCGAAAAGTGTTACCTATTTTTGTGAATGTCATCTCTTTGAAATACTAGGGAGAATATGTTGCTGCAGTACGGGACTTTTACTTGTCTGTCTATTTTTTCAAAAAGAAAACAACATCGAGGTAAGAATTTCTTTTTGATAGCTTTATTTACTTGAGTTGGTTGTAATTTTATTTCATCTTCATACCTGTGATCCAGAGCTATTTCTAGTTTCATGTTGCAAGTGATTGTGAAACCACTTCATTACAGAGGTAGAGTTTTTAACCCACAATGGATAAGGTTGAAGGAATTATTAGTCACAAAAACCTAGGGAGCTTTGTTCAACCAAAACCCCTTGTCCACTTAGATTCTGGTGTGCATATATGATGTCAACATTGGATGTAGTTTGAAAAGGCTAGCCCAGGTGATCCTTAACTGCCTCTTTTTTTTTTTTTTTTGGTTATAGGAGTGAATGTAGGCTTTGGGATACCCGGGTTTAAAGTGAGTCAGATTTAGTCTCTTTAAAGCTCAGTGTACCTCAAATTAACATATATTTAAAATGGGGAAAATATCTACCTAATAGAATTGTAAGGATGAATAAAATAACGTATTTAAGGAGACTCTTGTCAAACACAAGTAGTGACTCTTCAACTGACACTGTCCCCTCTTCCCTTTTACCCTGTCAAGATTAACATGTTTCTCTTTGCAGTATAATAAGGATCCTGATTATCTTTGGACACATTAGCCAGTTGTCTCAGATATAATTTATTAGGCTTGTTCATTACTAATGTTAAAATTTAGCTTCGGTTGACAAGAAATTTGAACAAACTTGGCTCAGGCAAAAGTCACTGAAAGGACTGTCTTGGCTTTACTTTGATGTCAGTGGCCTCCGTAGACAAGTTATCATGGTAGAATGTTGGTCACATGGAGTTTATATTGTATATTAATAAGTGTTTGCAAAAAAAATTCTTGATAATCACAATTTTTTTTTTTTTTAATCATGCATTTATATTCAGTGAATTTTTGGAGCTCTCCAGTTTGGTTGATAAGGGTGTGAACTCTCTTTTACTTAACTACACCACCACTTATCAAGAGACTTTAATAAGGGACAATTTTTTTCTTCTAGGTTTACTTTATCATCATCAAAAAATAAGAAACATGCTAAGAACAATTTTACATGTGTAGCATGTCACCCAAAGGAAGATTGCATAGCAACTGGTCACAAGGATGGCAAAATTCGTCTTTGGTCAGTTCACTTATGAAATGCATGGTGACCCTTTATATTATTATTTTGTGTTAGTCCTGCAGAACAGAACTATCTTTGGGTTCAGGATAAAGGATAGTACTGGTAGTAGAGATGAGGCTTTGCTGACATCCTCCCTTTCTTGTGTTTCTGTGCTCTTCATTGCATAGGCTTATTTTTGAATTTCTAACCTTGGGCTTGTGGGAGGAGTTAAAATTTCCATTTTTCCTGTAATTGTTTTATTAAGAGCTTTTTTATCATTTTTTGCCATTACTTTCCTAACTTAATGCCTTTGGTCAAATTAACAATTTTAGTTTTCTCCAACAGGAGGAATTTTGATGATGGTAAGAAATACACATACACATGTTTACATTGGCACCATGATATGGTTATGGATTTGGCTTTTTCAGTGACAGGTAAGTGAAGTTTAATAATTAAAATAAACTTTGGAAGTATATGGATCAGTATTCACTGCATTTATAGTTTGAAAGGTTTAGAATTGCATGGACCAAAAGAATTGTAAACACTAGTATATCACCCCTGTGGTTTGAACTTTCTTCAGCACAGTACCATACACTATAGGTTTCAGGGTATCAAAATGTACACTTGTGATAAAGTCCTTGTTGTTAACATAAAGAACCTATTAAATTACATTAGTCTTTTAAAATGTAATTATAATTAGCCATAGCTAAGTGCTTGTTGTCCATAAGAGTAGCTATAGTTTATCTTGTACAAATGATTATGCTATGCTTTACATCTACTACCTCATTTAATTCTTGAAGCTATGAAATAGGCATCATTTTGCAGATGAAGTGAGATTTGTAGTTGAGAACTAACTTGCCTAAGGTCGCACAGCTAGTAAGTGGGATTTGGACCTAGGTCTAATTCAAAAATTTGTTTTTAACTATTAGAATGCCTCATTTGCATTCACAATTTAAAATTAATTCAGAACTTGTGTTTCATTTAAGCTGCATGAGAGTGTGGCTATAGTGATTGACAAAGTACCACATCCATTTATGATAAAACCCTCAAAAAGTAAGCTTAGAGGGAACAAACCTAATCATAATAAAGGCCATATGTGAAAAAACCCACAGCCAATATCATGCTCAATGCAAAAAAACTGAGAGCTTTTCTTCTGCAGTCAGGAACAAGATAGGGATGTCCAGTCTCACCACTGTTATTTAAGATAGTATTGGAAGTCCTAGCCTCAGCAGTCACACAATAAAAGGCATCCAGAGTGATGAGGAAGAAGTAAAACTTTGACTGTTTGCAGATGACATGATATTGTATATAGAAAATCCAAAAGACCACCAAAAAACTGCTAGAACCGATAAACGAATCCAGTAGAGTTGCAGGATACAAAATCAGTATACAGAAATCTGTTGCTTCTATACACCAATAATGAAGCAGCAAAAAGAGAAATTAAGGAATCAGTCCATTTACAATTGCACCAAAAACAGTAAGTTACTTAGGAATAAACCTAACAAAGAGGTGAAAGATCTGTATTCTGAAAACTGTAAAACACTGATGAAAGAGATTGAAGATGACACAAAGAAATGGAAAGACATTCCATGCTCATGGATTAGAAAAACAAATATTTGTTAAAAAGTCAGTACTAGCCAAAGCAATCTACACATTTAATGCACTCCCTATCAAAATACCAACAGCATTTTTTCACAGAGCTAGAACAAACAATTCTAAAATCTCTGTGGAACTACAAAAGACCCCAAATAGCCAAAGAATCTTGAAAAAGAAAAGCATAGCTGGAGGCATCACAATTCTAGATTTCAAGTTATATTACAAAGCCGTAGTGATCAAAACAGTATGGTACTGGCACAAAAATAGACACATACATCAAAGGGACAGAATAGAAAGCCTAGAAATGAACCCACAATTCTATGTTCAGTTAATCTTCGACAAAGCAGAAAAGAACACGGGATGGAAGAGACAGGCCCTTCAACAAATGGTGTTGGGAAAACTGAAGAGCAACATACCAAAGAATAAAACTGGACCACTCGCTTACACCATGTACAAAAATAAATTCAAAATGGATTAAGGACATGAGAGACATGAAACCATCAAAATCCTAGAGGAGAACACAGGCAGTAACCTCTTTGACATTGGCTGTAGCAACATTTTTCCAGATAAGTCTCCTGAGGCAAGGAAAACAAAAGCAAACATAAACTATTGGGACTTCATAAAAATAAAAAACTTTTGCACAGCAAAGGAAACAGTCAACAAGACCAAAAGCCAACCTATGAAATGGGAGAAGATATTTACAAATGAACATATCTGATAAAAATTATATCCAAAATATATAAAGAACTTATACAACTTAACACCCAAAAAATGAATAATCCTTACGCAGAATAAACATGGGCAGAAAACATGAACATTTTTCTAAAGAAGGCATCCAGATGGCCAACAGACACATGAAAAGATGCTTAACATCAGTCATCATCAGGGAAATACAAATCAAAACTACAATGAGGTACTACCTCACACCTGCCAGAATGGCTAAAATAAAAAAAAAAGGAATAACAGGTGTTGGTGAGAATGTGGAGAAAGGGGAACCCTCTTGCACTGTTGGTGGGAAATGCAAGTTGGTGCAACCATTTTGAAAACAATATGAAGGTTCCTCAAAAAAAAAAAAAAAAGTTAAAAATAGAACTACCCTACGATCCAGCAATCGCACTACTAGGTATTTACCCTGAGAACGCAAAAATATTAATTCAAAGGGATATATACACTCCAGTGTTTATAGCAGTATTATCTACAATAGCCAAATTATGGAAACAGCCCAAGTATCCATCGACTGCTGAATGGATAAAGAAGTAGTGGTATATATACAATAGGCTATTACTCAGTCATAGAAAAAGAATGAAATGTTGCCATTTGCAAAGACATGGATGGAACTAGAGAGTATTATGCTAAACAAAATAAGAGAAAGACAAATACCATATGATTTCATTCATATGTGGAATTTAAGAAACAAATAAAGGGAGAAAGAGGCAAACCAAGAAACAAACTGTAAGAGAACAAACGGGGGGGTTACCAGATGGGAGGTGGGTGGGGGGATGGGGATTAAGGAGTTCACTTGTGATGAGCACCAGGTGTTGTATAGAATTGTTGAATCACTATATAGTACACCTGAAGCTAACTACACTGTATGTTAACTGGAATTTAAGTTAAAACTTTTTAAAAGTTATTAAAATAAAAATATTTAAAAATCTTCCTTGAAAATAGGATGATCAACATAAATTTTGGGAGGTACATTTTGTCTTTACTTTTAGCACCCTCACACCTATGTAGTAAAAGTTATATCAGTATATTTTGGCTGGTTTCTGAAAAAGGGGGACTGGATGCTAAAGAAGATTATGTGCCTGGAGAAAGTGAATTTTCTCGGCAGTTCTTCCTAGGAACTGTCAGAAAAAGTCTTAATACCATGTGCTCTGGATCCTTACAGGGTTACTTGGGTTTAACTCACTGGAACTGGAGCCTCAGGAAGTAGGAGGCATCTTCAGCCTACTTGTGGGTTGGGGTGGGGAACAGTTACTGGTATATATGGGGGTGGGACCCTGACAGAGTAGTATAACAGTTGTGATATGGGAAGTAAGAATAGAGAATGAAGAGGATATTAACCCCCTGGATAAAAGATGTAGGCTGCTCTTATCTTTTCCACCCTTCTCACAAGCCCCTCCACAAAATACAAATGGTGGGGGCATGTGTGTGTACATACGGATGTCATGTTCCATGCAGCATCATTCTTCCTTTCATCCTCAGTTTCATTTTCTCTCCTGTGGCCCCTGCCCTAATCTGGGCCAAGACCAGCTGATACTACTGTCACTGACTTTTCTCTATTTTGTTACCTTGTCCATCTTGTCTGCCTCCTCTCATACCAGTTAGCAGTCACAGCTCTCTGGGGGGGCTTTACTTAAGCCCTGGAACATTTGAGCCTGGCCTTTTCAGATGGGTCTTGGGGAAGAAGGAGTAGACTATTTGGCACTCAAAGAAAGGGAAGGAAAAAATACAGTGCACCTCTACCGTGAGCCAAGGCTTTGGTATAGGAGGTACTGCAGCTAATCTTGGCATATTGGAGTGTTGAATTCTTGGTTTTATAAGTCATGTGAGTATTTGTAAATAAGAATAGTTAAATATAGGACATGTGGGGCACCTGGGTGGCTCAGTCAGTTGAGCATCCCATTCTTGGTTTCAGTTTGGGTTGTGATCCCAGCGTTGTGAGATTGAGCCCTGCATTGGGCTCCACACTGGGCTCAGAGTCTGCTTAAGATTCTCTCTCCCTCTGTCCCTCCACCTGCTCTCGTGTGCACAGGCGTTCTCAAATAATAAAATTTTTAAAAATATATACACACACACCTATATATGTATGTACATATACATATAGTACAGGGTTGTCAGTAAAATGTCAGCATTGATCTTGTATCTGTGTAAGAGAATACAAGAAGAAAATTAGTTGTCTATGTAAATGAGCTACAAAGTATAGTTGCTTTGAGAACTGGTTATAAGTTCAGGCAAATATGAACAGTATAAACTGTTTTGGCTGTACTTTGCACTCAGTCACACTGTGTGTGAGCACTGAAGTAATTACTTCTTTCCAATCCTTAATCCCTTCTTGTCTCATGTCAGTATATTAGGACCTCCAGTTTATGCTAAGTTACTGAGAATTTTTATCATGGGAGTAGAATTCTATCATTTATTTTTTCTACATCTATTAAGATACTCATGATTATTCCCTTTATTATGTAAATGGAATTAATTACACTTATTCAAGTGTTAAGATAACCTCACTTACGGTAAACTCAGCTCTGCAGTATGTTATCCTCTTAATATATCCTTGGATTCAGCTTGCTAATACTTTGGGAATTTTCATCGATCATGAAATTGGCTTATAACTTTCTTATAATTTATTAGGTTGGTAAAGGATTATGTTCTCGTAAACAAGTTGGGAAGTGTTCTTTGTATTTTGGGTTTTTTTGTTACTTAGAAGAGTATAAAATTGGTTCATTTCTTAAATGTTTGGAAAAATTTGTCATTGAAGCCATCTGGTCCTAGAGGATGTTTGTCATTCAGTTTTTCTGTTATTGGCAGAAGAGTTGATCAGCAACAAACTAGTTAAATATTGTTGGAAAGGAAAATCCCAGAATCAATGACTGTTAAATCTGTTGACTCTTAATCCCAGGAAACAAACTGAGGGTTGCTAGAGGGAAGGTGGGTAGGGGGATGAGGTGGCTGGGTGATGGACACTGGGGAGGGTATATGTTATGGTGAGTGCTGTGTATTGTGTAAGACTGATGAACCACAGACCTGTTCCCCTGAAACAAATAATACATTATATGTTAATAATAAAGAAGTCTGTTGTCTTAAGTTTATTAAAAGATAGGAAGATACTTGTTTGCATATTTTTAAAAATAGTTTATATCTCTAACATAGTAGGGAGATTTTAAGTGTTAATTATATTTTTCTGTTTTTTTCCCCAAAATACTGTCCTTTTCATTTCTGTGGATGGATGAGAAGGCACCAGTCTTCTGAGTGGTGGTCGTGAATCTGTCCTTGTAGAGTGGCGAGATGCAACAGAGAAGAATAAGGAGTTCCTCCCCCGTTTGGGAGCTACTATTGAACATATCTCAGTCTCACCAGCAGGGGATTTGTTCTGTACTTCTCACTCTGATAACAGTAAGTCTGACTTTGTTGTGAGGAGATAGAATTGTACAACTAGGGAATGGAAAATAAGAGACATAAAACTAATTAAGAGGAGTGTAAGATTTAATGAGCATTATTTCTTCCATTCTTCCTCTTTTCTCGGTTTCCTTTTTTGACTCTAGATGCCACCAAAATCCAACATTTTCAGGATTGTTTTGATAAAAATGTAGGGCCAAGTGTATTTGGTTCTTGTACCATTTCCATTTCAAAACCTTTACTTGTGGATGTGGGGATAATAGAGGGAGGGTTTTTGAAGTGGGCATTTGTGCCTTCACAAATGTAATGATGTTTTCAAAAGAACACTTAATGTAGCCACACTTGGTGTGGGGGTCCCGTGGGTTCTGACAGGAATAGAGGCAGTCTTGTATACCTCCAAAACTTTTTGCTCATCCTGTTACTACTCAGCCTAAATGTAAATCTCAGGGCCCATTGCCTCCTTTCCCTTCAAAAAAAAAAAAAAAAAACCCCATAACTGTGAGCAATCCGTTAGTGCAATGAGTCATTTCAAAGTAAACTGTCTCTTTTAGAGTATATAAGTTTCTGAATTAATACTTAAAATATATTCATAGGCACCAACTGATAAACCTTAAAGCCTCCAAAAAAAAACCCTCTTCCCCAGCCCCAGGTTTTTAGCTAAATCACAAAATATATTCCTGATTTTCTTTTTTTATTCCTGATTTTCTAATAATACTGAGTAAACTGAACTTACTAAGTTGTTTTAGAATCTGGTATATTTTAGAATGACATAAATTCAGTTGATTTTTTTTGACCTTGAAGTTCTGACCAATTTGTGGTTTGTTTTTTGTTTTTGTTTTTTTTACCCACAGAGATTATAATAATTCACCGAAACCTTGAGGCATCTGCAGTGATTCAAGGCCTAGTGAAAGGTATTACAAAACCCAGTGGATTTGTAATCATACACAACTTAAAAATGAATATTTGTATGACTTTAACTATTGTTTGTCACTTCTTTTGCAGACAGCAGTATCTTTACCGGTTTGATGATTGATCCCAGAACTAAAGCTTTGGTTTTGAATGGAAAACCTGGCCATTTGCAGTTTTATTCTCTGCAGCATGATAAGCAGTTATACAATGTAAGATTTTGATCCATTAACTGGCCTTAAAACTAATGAAAGTTTCCAACAGCACCACCAGGGTTAAGTAACTTATTTAGTAGCTTCTAAAACAAGATCCTGTGCCTTTGTTTGCTTGAACAATTATCAATACTGTCTTTGGTTACTTAGTTGTTTACAGCATAATTCTAATGAGGCCACAGTGGCAAAATAAGGCTACACGTAAGTCAGCTGGCACTCCTGTGCTGGCTCTCCATTTAATTATGTTTCAGACTGCAGTCTAATTAGCTGTCACATACTTGTGCCTTGAGTTACAAGAATAGGGAAATAAGAATATAAGGACTGTAAATACAAATTTGTCTCTGTTTTCTGCTAAAATGTTGTCCTGTGTACCTACCAGTGACAAAATTTTCAGCCTAAAGAGGGATCTTCTTATTGATCCAGACTTTCTACTTCTTTGTGCCCCACAGTATCCCCACTTGATCTTTCTTTCCCTTGCCTTTAAACCCCCCAAAGAAAGGAAACTTAATTCTTTGTACATTTTCAGTACAGTGACTAGAAATAATAATTACTCAATATATGTTTGGTAAGTAGACAAGGGAATGGGATAAAAAACAATCATAAATAAAAGTCTACTTAAACATTGCTATCTTTCTTCACCACTTAAAAATTGTAGATTTTATTTTTGTTCTTGTTTTTAGTGATGTGGAATTTAACTTGAGATTTTATGTAAAGCTCTTTGTTGATAGAAACAAGGGAGAAAAGCATTACTATTAATTAAGCATTCTATTGTATCACGTACATGGGTCAGTCAGTCATCACTAAAATTAAAGGTCATTGAAGAATAATTGCTACTGAACTGGTGCTATATAATGTGCTTTTTTAATGGCAGTTTTGATATCCATAACTAATAGTTTGTTTTTTCCTTTATCTGAGAACCTATTACTATAGATTCTAGAAATTGTGTTTATGGTTAGTTACCATTCCTTGAAAACTTTAACGTTTACGTATTTACATTAATGAGCATTTTGGATTTTTTTTTAACCCATCAGTTAGATATTATACAGCAAGAATATATCAATGATTATGGTCTGATCCAGACTGAGCTAACAAAGGCTGCATTCGGCTGCTATGGTAACTGGCTTGCAACAGTGGAACAACGTCAAGAAAAGGAAACAGAGCTTGACTTGCAGATGAAACTGTGGATGTATAATAAGAAAACACAAGGGTAATACTACCTATGTGGCTACTTCAGAGTAGAAAATATGTGATTTTGTATTTTATGTTTCATTTGTCTTTAGAATGTTTCATTTTGATAAATTTTAGATTTAGACCAATGAGGGAGGTGTTACTCTCCTACTAAGGCCTTTCAGCTTTTGCTCTGAGAAAGCACTGGTGTCCCCCAAGTTGTAATGTCATGTCCACACATAAATGAGGAAACATGGGAAAGTGACCCCCCTGCCTCCCAAGGACATCAGACCTAATTGCAAGCAAAGCCAGAGTTAGAATCCAAATTTCTCAGTCCCTTTGCTCCTCTATTCATATTATACTACCTTCGGGGAGCATGGCAGTGGTAGGCAGCAGAGGTATACTGTAGTGTAGCATGTATGTTTGATTACATAGAGTTCACTGGTTTCTCAGACTTTGATTATAGTAGCCGTTTATCAAGTCCCTGCTGTGTGCGAAGACCTAGGCTTAGTGCTTTTGTATCTGTTGTCCTACCAATTTCATAGAAATACTGTAAGATAAGTTTCTTTTCCACATTTTACAGGTTAAAGAAACAGACCCAGAGGGATTAATAGATTATCGCTAGTCACTCTTCTGGTAGTACAGACTTTTAAAAAATCACAGCACAGGGGCGCCTGGGTGGCTCAGTCATTAAGCGTCTGCCTTCAGCTCAGGTCATGATCCCAGGGTCCTGGGATCGAGCCCCGCATCGGGCTCCCTGCTCCGCAGGAAGCCTGTTTCTCCCTCTCCCACTCCCCCTGCTTGTGTTCCCTCTCTCGCTGTGTCTGTCTCTGTCAAATGACTAAAATCTTTAAAAAATAAAAATAAAAAATCACAGCACAGTCTTGCCCCAATGTTCTTTTAAGAACACTGTGCTAGCTTAGGTTATCTTGCATTTGAAGAGGTAGTTTTCTGTATTTTCTTGCCACAAGTAGGGGCTTTCACGGCCATTCCATTTTTTGCTTATTTTTGAAAGTAGATAGTCATCTGAGTTCTGTACAGTTTTCTTACAGAGTTTAATATGGTAGGCTTTCATGTATCATTCTGTGACGACTCCTATTTTATATTCATTTTGTACAAGTTGACAGTATACATAATGATTTCTATATTGTATAAGTTACACAAAGGCAGAGATAATGTGTTAGAACTCTTTATATCCTGTGGCCATTAGAGGTAGAGCGCTCAATTGTTTGTCATTCTAGATGATAATGTATCCGTTGCTCATTCTTAAAGATACTATTATAAAATGTACAGTAAAAAATTCTTGTACTCATATGACAATATATAATACTGTTCTGATGTAAGGCTAAATTGATGATTTCCTTTCTGTTAGGTTTGTTCTTAATACAAAGATTAATATGCCACATGAAGACCACATCACAGCTCTCTGTTTCTGTAATGCAGAAAAATTTGAAAACCCCACCTTGGTTACAGCTAGTAAAGATGGTCACTTCAAAGTGTGGATATTAACAGATGATTCTGATATATACAGTAAGTTAATTAAATATGGTATGTCTATAGAGTGCATAATTTAAGAATTGTGTCCATTCCAGGAGGACTTTTTCTACCTTATTTAACTTCTGTGGGTTATTGCCTAATTGATTTAAGAGATTACATTTTACATGCCTTTTCCCCAAAATCTGTATTTTTTTATGACAGTCTTGATTAATCAATCATGTACTGATTATTTCTGTGAGGGTACAGTGTTGGAAAAAAAAGGCAATTCTTTCACTGTTCCACTAGAGGGAGGTCAAGATTTTCTGGAAGAGGTATATATTTCAAACCAGTCAGTGCTTTGGAGCATTTCTAACTCAAGTTTCAAGGAGCAAGGTTTTTTTGTTGTGCTTCTTCTGTAATCCTTACTGCTTATAACTACCCTAAAGTATTATCTAGCATTTATACCATTTCTGAACTATATGATCTATGTTTCCACAGAAAAAGCTGTTGGCTGGACCTGTGACTTTGTGGGTAGTTATCACAAATACCAAGCAACTAACTGTTGTTTCTCTGAAGATGGCTCTCTACTAGCAGTTAGTTTTGAGGAAATAGTTACAATATGGGATTCAGAGACATGGGAACTTAAATGTACATTTTGTCAACGAGCTGGGAATATAAGGTAAATAATTTGGGGAGTATGTCATACTGTTTGTTTTTAATTTAAATGAGTCTTTCCACATAAACTTTTAGTAGTAACTTATGCTTCCTCTAAAGGTAGTCTGTGGTCAGTAGCAAACCAAAGTGGTAGGAAGCTAAAAATTTTGGGTATGTGAACTATTTGCTATGGTTTTACCCATTTCTGAAATGAGGATTAACATTTAACTCTTAACCTACAGATTTTTTTTCTTCATAATAGATACTTTTCGTGGTTGTGCTACCTAAAAATAGACGCTAATAAGCCTCCATGGATCCAAACAATGCTTATCTTCTGTTTTCCCATAAAAACAATGTCATGCTCAAACCTTGTTTGTATTCAAAAAGGGCAAAAGAAAAAACAGCAACATCTGTCACTTCAGGCAGCTGGCATTTGAGGACAGAATGGCAGAGGGCTAACAAGACAGTTTTTAATTCCCAACATACCTGATTCTGAATTTGCTTTGTAAAAATTCTTCAGAATTTTCTTCTAGGTTAAACGAGCATAAAAAAGGGTTTTGTTAAATGACTTTGTACATTTCACATACATATTGCTTATAGTGTGTGCCAATAAATTATACAGCATATTAGAGCAAAGAATTGGTCATCAAACTTGTTTTTGTAAAGAAACAAAATAGCTAAATAAACCTTTCCTTTTGCTCTCCTTAGTCCCTTTTTCCTGCAGGATAATTGTGAACAAAAATATATCTTTCTAAAAGTCTGCATTGCATAAAACTATACTAGAAGTCTGCAGTCCGAAACTCAGCGTGCTAAAACTGATGGTTAACTTCTTGTGGTTTTAACATAGGCACCTTTGCTTTGGGAGATTGACTTGTTCAAAGTATCTTCTTGGTGCTACTGAAAATGGCATTCTTTGCTGTTGGAATCTGCTCAGTTGTGCATGTAAGATTTTTTTTTTTTTTTTTTACTATAAAGTGATTTGACAAATCATATGATAAATGGCCATTAAATTTTGGCATTTTAGGACTTCTGGATCATATCTTCATGTCTCTATCCAGAGAGTACTTACAGTTTTTCACATGTCACATTATGCATCAAAATTTGAAGTGCTGAGCCTGTAAGGGATGTACATTATTTGTAATCTGCCTAATTGGCCATAAATTGATTTCCATTATCCTTGCCTTTCTCTGCCATGTATAACTTTCTGTTGTCCTCCATCTTCTCTATTCTCATAACAGCCTGAGGAATGTTTCTGCTGAAACGTAACCTGTATTAACATGCAGCATCCATGGCAGCTTTAAATTTGAATGTCTCTTTTCACAAGCCTCCTAACAAATGTGGACTTCGTTTTTACTCATTTTTACTTATTGGCATTTTACGCATTGGAGTATGCTTGGAAGGCGTGGTGGTTTAGTAATGAACATGTATGATACTCTGTTTATATATATTCTCTACAGTGATTCTTAACATTTTGCCCGTGTTAAGCTGCCAAAAGCACCAGACAGTAGTTGCACTGAAATAATAATAACCATTTCATAGTATGTGGGAGGAGTACTTGGTTGTTCTGCTTCCTGTCCCTTGCTCTAGTGCAGGCTTCCACAGACATTTTCAGTTTGTCTCCATGTGTTATTTGGAAGTATAATATCCCTCTTCCTAAGAATAATAGAATTGTCCCAGTAAAAATTGAGTACCTACTTTAAATAACAAGCTTAAAAAAGTTTCTGGTAAATCTCTTTCTAGAAATGAATTGTTCTTTTTTCCCGCCAGTGGAATGGAGTGCAAAATTAAACATTAGAGTTATGGAACCTGATCCTCATTCAGAGAATATTGCTGCAATCTCTCAGTCTTCGGTGGGTTCAGACTGTAAGTACAGACCATAGTTTAATAATAAGAGGAGATCTGTTACCTAAATTTTCTTTTTAACATCTTTAATATAAAGTGAGTCAAACTGCCTTTAAATCAAATGTTTATTTTAGGCCATTTTGCCAGAGGTACTGTCCTCTCTTGAGTTCTTACTGCAACATCTTGTTCTGTATGCACTCATACTGACTTCTCGGAGAGCTCCAGTACATCTCTCATTTTTCACCATGCCAGTCCCACTCCACATTCAGAACGTCCCAAGAGAGATTTTGCCCCTCTGAAGCATTTTAAGAAGCTTTAATCAATCTTCCTCCATCTTCTTGAAGCACTGTCTACAGATCGCTGTTCCAGTACTTAAGACAAAATATCACAATATTTTGGTGTCTGTCTTCTGCGGTTGGCCACCCTGGTCTCTGGAGCAGGGATTCTTCTTCCTCTTCTTCATCTTCATAGCCCTCATTCCTAACTGCTTGGCACATAGCAGGCATCCAGTAGATATTTGAATTAAAGCCTAAAATAATCATGACTTGGACCATTTACTCAATGGGGTAAGTCCCAGGATTAGTGTGGGCTGTCAACCTGAGGCTGGAACTAACCTTTGCATGCAAAATGTTATGGTCTGTTTGTTTTTTCCCTCTAGTGTTTGTATTTAAACCTAGTGAGCCAAGACCATTGTATATTCAAAAGAATATCTCCAGAGAGGAAGTCCAGTGGGGAGTGTTTGTTCCGCGAGATGTGCCTGAATCATTCACCTCAGAAGCTTACCAGTGGCTGAACAGATCCCAGTTTTACTTCCTAACAAAGTCACAGGTAACCATCCCACCTCAAAAAGGCAACCACTTTGTATATGTAATTTTCAGTTCATTTTATATTTGAAAGTAATAACTCATAACAGGTGGAACAGTAATACTAAAGGATTACTTCCCAAAAGAAGTAATCTAATATGCTCAATAAAACAGTATTACTAGTGTTAAGTGTATTAGCACAACTTTACCCCACACTTTTGAGGCTCTTTAAATATTGTTTGCATTATCTCCATGACAGCAAAAAAAAAAAACAAAATACTTTAAATGGTACTTATTAGTGTGTTTTTTTTTTTTTAATTTTAGTATTTGCTATAATAAAAACTGGCTTCAGTTTGATCCATCAGTTGAATCTGTTTCATTACCAGTTCTTAAATAAGTGTTCTCAGAACAATCTTGTAACTGTCACAGCAATTATGTTTTAAGCCTTCTATTACTTTTCTTTGGGCAGATATATATATGTGTGTATATATATCAAGATGAAAAATGGACCTCATTTTTTAACTATAACATTTTTATTTAGATTTTACATCATTAATCTCTCTTTTCAGAGTTTATTGACATTCAGTACAAAGTCTCCAGAAGAGAAACTCACACCAACAAGCAAACAGGTATGTTTTAGCCACTCATGGTGCAGACTGCATTGCCTCCCTACAGAGATAACCTTATCTGTTTGAATTTAGCTATGAGAAAAATGTTCCACCTGCCCTAACATGGAATTAAACATACACTTGAAAGCTACTTTGCCTCTTTGAGGTTATATTTACTCTTCTAAAATATAGTTTTAATTTGTAACATCAAAAATATATGCTTGTGATTTGAGTCAAATAGTTATACAAGACTTTCAGGAAAACTTCCTAACACCACTGCCATTACCCGCAAAGATAATCACTTTCAACTCTTTTAGCTGGAGTTTTTATTTGCCTTCCTAAGAAACATGTTTATATTGCTAATTCTGGATTTTTCAGATTTAATTATTGTCTGTTTACTGATTATTCAAGTTATTACTCTTTTTCACACCACCACTTCCCCCATGTACATAACACACACACCTTTCCTATTCCTCAGTTTTCTCAGTATAGATAAATCAGGTCCGTATTCGTTATAACTGTGTAAACACAGTTGAGTCATGTAGTAACCAGACAGATTGTTTTCTTTTATTTGCAACACTGTTTTCTCTGGAGTTAATGATTGCCACCTTCTTATTTGCATAGTTTTCTATTTATTTCTCATCTAATTCACCCCCAAACTCAAGTTGTTTAAATCTCCTCTCAGTATTTCAGATATATTAGGTATTCTTTCAAGTCTTGAAGGAATATTTCCAAGAGCCTCTGACTTGCTTCAATCTGGACCGATTGCTCTATGAATACCTGCTGCCCAGGAGGCATAGGATCTACATTCGCCATCAGTTGGGGAATCATTTCACTTCTAGCTTTCCCCTTGCTTCGATCACTTCTTTGCTTTGGTATGAAGCACATTCTGTTAGTGCCATGTGAGGCAAATTTAAGACGTTGTGTGTTTGGAAATGTTTCTCTTCTCCCACTTGATTGGTTGGTCGAGTTATAAAGTTATAGGTTGAAAATCATTTTCTCTTAGAACTTTGAAGGTATTGTCCTATTTTATAGCTTTGGGTGTTATTAGAAGTCTAATACCATTCTTATTCCTGTTCCTTTATGTGTAAACTAGCTTTATTATCCTCTGAAAACTTAACTGAATTTGTTCAACAATTTTTTGTTGAACCTCAATAAGCCAGGGTCTGTTCTAGATGCTTGGAATACACCAGTGAGGTAACATTCAATTCTCTAAACTTAACAGTGTTCACAATCTAGCAGGAAAATACAACAAGCATTAAATAAGTGAAATGTAGTACTTTAGAAGTGATAAGAATAATGGGTGGAGGAATAGAGGAAAAGGGTGTGGGGTGCAGCTTGCCATTTTATGTAGGCCAGGCAAAGTAGGCCTTGTGAATAAAATAGAATTTGGCTTTTCCTCTGAGTAATATGTGGAGCCCCTTGGAGAGTTTTAATCCAAGAAATGACAAGAATGAATTACTTCTTTTCCTTCATTTTCTGTTCTTTTTCTGGAACCCTTGTTATTTAGTGCTGAACTATCATCTATTTTCTTTGTTTTCTGGGAGATTGTTTCATTTTTATCATCTAATCTGCTTTTTTCCTGTTTTGCATAGTCCCATTTCTATCATTTGTTTGTTTTCCATCTGTTTTAGTCTCTTTCATTTCACAGGTTTTCATCAGAATCTCATGATTCTCGACTGTCTGCTTTTATTTAAAAGTGATCCAAAAAGCCATTTGGAAGGTCTCTGCCTAGGTGGAATTTGTCTGCTGGCCTCTACCACTGGCTGTTTTTGAGAAAGTCTCCAAAGTCATTATTTTTAGGTTTTTTGTCTTAGGCTGGTCAGATTGCCCAGATAAAATTCTTCTAAATTCTTGCCTGGAGGCTAGCAGCCTGGAAGCACCCTCTATGAAGCACAGCTGCCTTCAGCTGTGAAGACACTGCCACCAAGCCCCCCAGGCAGTTCAGTTTAAAGACACACTTTTGTTCCACTCTCCAGAGAATGTACTTCCAGCCCTCTCTTGGGGCTCAGAAGGAGATCTAGGAATATGAATGCTCTCTAAATGGACTTTCAGCCAGGCTACCCGGTTATTGTTAGCCTTTTTCCAAGGTACTATTAGTACCAATTCCTGAGCATTTGCAGGATTCAGCAATATAAATTGGGATGTTTCTTGGCTTTCCCCCCAGCCAGCTTAGAATTCTTTCTCAGGTCTACTAAGTTACCTACTACCCTTGAACTTGCTTTCCACCTTCCAGCATCTTACTCACCCATTTTCTTTCTCACTGTGGGTTTATGTCCTTTTGAAAACCCATTTGCTGTCATTTCATTGGGGGAGAAGCAGTAGTGTGTATTTTTTCTGTCATCTAAGTGTGCACTGTTAGCTTTTTCCCTAATAAATGGGCTGCTGGGCCTCAGTTGCTTTACCTGTAAAGTGAAAAGAATCATACCAGATAATTTTTAAAGTTCCTTTCATCCCTGACATTTTAGGACTGCAACACTTTTTATTGAGTCCAAGGCAGTTCCTCCTTTTTAATTGAAGAAATTTTCCTTTGTCTTAAATCCTTATAGCTACTAGCAGAAGAAAGTCTTCCAGCAACACCGTTTTATTTCATATTGGGAAAGCACAGGGAACAGCAGGATGAAAAAATAAATGAGGCTTTGGAGAGTGAACTAGTACAACTACCCTTAACAGAAAACATATCTGCAATTAGTGAGGTAAGTAATTCACAACATGAAACAGATTAAATACATTAAAGCACCTTAAGTTAGAGTTTCTATAATTTGTAACATAACTTTTTTAAGATTTATTTGAGAGAGAGAGAGAGTGTGTGTATGTGAGCAGGGGGAGGGGCAGAAGGGGAGAGAGAAAACCTTTCACAGCCTGACACAGGGCTCCATCTCACCACCCTAAGATCAGGACCTGAGCCGAAATCAAGTCAGGTGCTTAAGACCGAGCCACCCAGGCGCCCCTGTAACAGATAACTTTTGAATAATTATTTATATACTGTGCGGTTCTAATACGCAAACCAAATAACATAAATTTATGATTCTAGATTACTGTGGTCTGAACTGACAGGAGGGGAGAGAGGATTGTTTGTATAATTGTCAGAAGGCAGGCATAAATTTTTTTTTGGTTTGGTTTTACTGTGGAGAAAGCCTGTTGCATTTAGCTGGTGGCATTAAGTCTTTTTAAATGAAGCCCTATTTTTCTGGTTTTTTTACTCTAGCTTCTTCATACTCCAGCCCATGTATTGCCATCTGCTTCTTTCCTGTGCTCCAAGTTTGTAAATTCACTGCTGCTGTCTAAGGAGACAAAGAGGTAAAGCAGTTTTTAAAATATGTTTAGATACTGTTTTGGGAAACAGGATAGTTTGTTACCCTTTCTTAGAGTATTCTTAAACTGTGACCCTTCAACAGTGTGTGGGGTAGGACCACCGACCCCCTGCATAGTCGAAAATCCACACATAACTTATGACTCCCATAAAACTTAACTACTAATGCCTGATGGTGCTTGGAAGTCTTAATAACAAACAGTTAACACACAATTTATATGTTATGTATATTATATACTGTATTCTTATAATAAAGTAAGCTAGAGAAATTAAAATCATACAGAAGAGAAAATAAATTTACAGTATTATATCAAATCCATGTATAAGTGATGGGTGCAGTCCAAATCCATGTTGTTGAAGGTCAACTGTATTTCTCTTTATTTTAGCCTTAATATGCAGTTAAAGGACAGAGGACTATTAAACCAAGTGAATAAAATACATTGAAAATAATTATTAGATCTCGTGTGTATGGTTTAAGGAATTGATATAACTAAAAATTACACTTTGTAAATTCATCTATTCTTTTATAAGAACCCATTTTTGAAGTGCACTCAATAACAAGATTTTTCATTTACTTTCCCTGTATGGTTATAATTCTACGTAGGTGTCTTAAATTAGAAAGTTATTTAGAAACTTTTTAAGTAATAGTTTATATTTTATTCTCTTATCATGAAAGTGGTGAAGAATTCCCTGATGATGTAGATATGGAAGAAGAAAAAGAAAGTGATGATTCAGATGAAGAAAATGATTTTACTGAAAAGACCCAGGATACAAACGACACAGATTTGGGAGAAGACATTATACACCAGTTGTCAAAATCTGAAGAAAAAGAACTAAGAAGATTCAGGAAGGTAGACTACAGCTGGATAACTGTTCTTTGAGCCTTGGAGATGGAAGGTTCTTGCATTTTGTTTTGTTTTTTTTTTTTAATTATATATTGATACTCCAAAAACATCTACTTGATGTTATTTCTCTCCTTAAAATATTAAATATGAAGAGGCTTTACTTTTTAAATAATTGGTAATACAAAGCTGTGTTTGCATCATGCATTAGAGTTGCTGGGTGCATGCATATACACACCATCTCATTTTTATTTTGAGTTACATCAGCCTTAGAAATATCTAGCAATTTTCTTCACAAGCAATTATAGCGTATGTCGCCTTATCTGCAAGTTGGAGATATAAAAAAGTTTTGAAAATCAAAAGTTTTTGTTGATGATATTGTTAACAGCAAAATTTACTTGGTGGCCAATAGGACCTAAACAGATGTGTTGTTTTCTTTAGTCCTGCTTCATACATCTTAGTGTGTTTATTACTCAGAGAAATAATTTGATTATGTGGTGTTCCACAGACCACACCGAGGGTATTAAATCATAATAATAATATGGGCCGCCTAAAATCTGAAAAATTCTAAAGTGAAATCATTTGGCACCAAGCCTTTCAGATAAGGGCTTATCTAACTCTACTTGGAAAGCCTTGGAAGATATAAGAAGAGCTGATATTACTTTGTCAGTGTTATGGGTGTAGGAACAACTACTTTTTAACCAAAGTCCCATTGCTAGTAGACTAGGATCCAAGCCTCTGTATTATATTTAAGTAGTGAGGTGACTATTTTTTAACCATTTAGCATTTGGAGTTTTCCTATTTTACTCCTATTAAATTGACATTAAAAAGTTAACACAAAAACAGTAAAGTATACAACTTTACAGTCCAAGATAGTGTCATAGGAAGACCCTGAACTCACCTCCTCTACAGAACACACCAAATCTATACCTGTTTCTGGAGCACTTCCTCCAGAAGAACTGAGGGCTGACTGAACAGCTTCTGCACAACAAAAGACAGACTACATACAGAACAGCAAGAGAGACAGTAATGAAGAGAACACCTACCCCCAACACTGCAAACTGCAGTGGGGTGAGATAATACTGAAGAACCACATGCAAGCAGATTTGTCTGCCCTGGGGCACAGGAACAAAAGCCATGGTTTAAAAGAGCAACTAGAATGTAAGTATTCAGCCCTAGAACTGCCAACCGGTGGGAGAGCTGCTGGAACTTTCTCCAAGTTGGAGGGCCTGGTGGGTTTATGTTCTCTCTCCATATTGGATAGCATGGATGGGAGTAAGGTCAGGGCACCCTAACCAGCCTACCACTTCAGTGAGTCCCTGGCCCCTAGCCCATACCAGCCCCAGCCATCCCACCAAAGTGGCCCCAGTGTGGTATACACTGGACACCCCTGTTCAGGCCTCATTGTGGTTCCAGGCATCTTGCCAAGGTGACATGGGTGCAAAGCACCCTGGAACACTCCAAGCCCAGACATCCTACCAGGGCAGCCCCAGCAGAGTGAACTGGGATCTCCAGCCCATGCCAGCCACAGCGCCAGCCAGCCAAAGTCGCCAGGCATACACAGTTTATATAGAAGATGACCATACACAAGACCATTCAAGTTTAGGAGAAGTAGCTGATCCACTTAATATATAGACACATACACAGAAAGTCAAGCAAATTGAGACAGAATATGCTCCAAATGAACAAGACAAAACCTCAGAGAACTAAGTGAAATGGTGATAGGCAATATGCCTGATAGAATTTGAAGTAATGATCATAAAGATGCTCACCAGACTGGAAAGAAGAGTAGAATAACTCAACTTCAATAAAGAGAAAATACAGAAAACCAATTAGAGTTGAATGCAATAACTGAAATGAAAAATAAACTAGAGGGAATCAACAGAGAATGCAGAAGAATAGATCAGCAATCTGGAAGACAGGCTAATGGAAAGCACCCAAGCTGAACATAAAAAAAAAAAAAATTTACAAACTGAAGATAGGATAAGGAATATGTTGGACAACATCAAGCCAACAAACATTCACATATAGGGGGCCCCAAAAGAAAAAAGTTTCAGGCAGAAAACTTATTTGAAGAGAGAATAGCTGGAAACTTTTCTAACCTGAAGAAGGAAGACACCCAGGTTCAGAAAGCACAAAGAGTTCCAAACAAAATGAAACCAAGGAGGTCGATACCAAGACACATAATTAAAATGTCAAAGATTCGGGGCACCTGGGTGACTCAGTTGGTTAAACGTCTGCTTTCAGCTCAGGTTATGATCCCAGGGTCCTGGGATTGAGCCCCACATTGGGATCTCTGCACGGTGGGGAGTCTGCTTGTGCTCTCCTGCTCTCTGTCAAATAAAATCTTTAAAAAAAAAATAAAAAATGTCAAAGATTAAAGATAGAGAATTTTAAAAGCAGCAAGAGAGGCAAATAGTCGTGTAAAAGGGAAACCCCACAAGGCTATCAGCTGATTTTTCAGCAGAAACTGCAGGTCAGAAGGGAGTGACATGATTTATTGAAAGTGCTGAAAGGAGGGGCACCTGGGTGGCTCAGTTGTTAAGCGTCTGCCTTCGGCTCAGGTCATGATCCCAGGGTCCTGGGATCGAGCCCCACATCA